TAATTTGTTGTAAGGAGCTAGTTACATGCTTGCTGCAGCTCCTAAAGTGCCAGCTTCATGAGTTCTGCAGAGTTCTAAATGACTGTCAAGGCATAATGTCACTGAGGGGTCACTTTCATCAGTTTGGTATCCCATGAGGGGCAGCACGAGTCTCACATTCAATAAATCTCTTTCAGATGATGGTCCCTCCAAAGAAACAACAAAAAGCAGCAGTTACACCAGCCAAGAAGGCTGCTACCCCTGCAAAGAAGGCTGCCACTCCTGCAAAAAAGGCAGTGACGCCAGCCAAGAAGGCTGTGGCTACTCCAGCTAAAAAGGCTGTTGCTCCATCACCCAAAAAGGCTGCTGTCTTAGGCAAAGGAGCGAAAAATGGCAAGAATGCCAAGAAGCAAGAGAGCGAGGAAGAAGATGAAGACGATGAGGAAGATGACGAAGAAGATGAAGACGAAGAGGAGGAGTCTGGTAAGTTACTTTTGGAACTCATTTCTGTCTTTGTGAGTTGACCAAAGTTGGCTCGGTCTTGTAGGTGAAATTGATTACTTTTGAAGTTGACAGTGCAGCAAAATGCAGCATACAGAAGGGCAGGGAGGGAGGAAAGTTGGGGCTTTGGTAAATGTTGGAGAACTTTCCATACTGCAGCTGTGTTACTTGTAGTGTGTGCCACACCTTTTGAGTTTTCTCGGATGAAGCAAAGTGCCTGGCAGAGTTTGAACACTGAGTGCTATGGATAAAGGCTTATTGTACTGTTGTGGTAGATGAGGAAGAGGAACCAGCAATGCCTGTGAAGCCTGCAGCCAAAAAATCCGCAGCAGCTGTACCAGCCAAAAAGCCTGCAGTTGTGCCAGCAAAGCAGGAATCTGAGGACGAGGAAGATGAGGAGGAGGATGAGGAGGACGAGGAGGATGAAGGTATGTGGTCCATAAAGGATTTAGAGAAACGAAAGGTTTGGAAAATATAGTTGTGAAAGTGTTGGATGCTTCCAGGGAGCTCAGTGGAGGGGTGGGTTAGTGGGAGTGATGCAGTGTGTCTGTGTCCAGTTAGTGCCCAGCTGCCTTTAGCTGGCAACCAGTGTCTGTCAGATATGGCAGGAGTGTTTATTTTTCTACTGTTGGGGAAAATGAAAACCTTAAGAGATGTTAGTGCAGTAAAAGCTGAGATACAGGCAGGACACTGAAACACTACAAAACTCTTCCTGAGAACATATAAGCTTCATGAGGAATACGAAACTGTAGAGCTGAGTGTTTTTTAGACTCGAAAATGGCTTCATCTGGAATGCTCCTGAAATCTCACACTCAACCTGTTGCAGAGTCTGAAGATGAGGCCATGGACACAACACCAGTTCCTGTGAAGAAACCTCCTCCAGCCAAGGCTGCTCCAGCTAAAGCCAAGGCAGAGTCTGAAGATGAGGAAGATGAAGAAGATGAGGATGAAGATGAGGAGGATGAAGATGATGAAGAGGAGGATGAGGAAGAAAGTGAGGATGAAAGTGAGTTTATATATCATAGTTTTCCATAGTAGCCAAAAAAGTGTCCAAGCAAAATTTTTCTTTGTGTTGTAGTCATTAGGACTGAAGAATTGGTAATGCTGGCCTTCTGTTTGAGCAGTGAAGATTTTAAGAGTCCTGTATTGATACAGCGCAGGAGAAGCTGTTGTTCTGTTCATGTACTTCTATTCCAGTGTTGTTTCTTGTTCCCTAACCACAGAACCTGTCAAGGAAGCACCTGGAAAGAGGAAAAAAGAAATGGCCAACAAGAGTGCACCAGAGGCCAAGAAAAAGAAAACAGAAAGTAAGTGACGTGGGGTCACAAGTGATGCTCATTTGAGTTGTTGGACTGCTGGGTGAGGTGTGTAGTAATGGTGAAGGGGCTGTGGATGTTCAGTGTTTTCTTTTTCCTCAGCACGAATGATGATCAGAAGGGACTTAATACTGAAATGTGATGTCAGTTTTGAGCAAAACTGATGTGCTAATGCTGTAAGCAATCTAATTTCCAACTCTCTTCATTTGCCTTATGTTCCAATGTCTTTTCATTCAAAGCACCTGCTTCAGCTTTCTCACTCTTTGTGAAAAACTTGACCCCCACCAAGGACTACGAAGAACTGAGAACTGCCATCAAAGAATTCTTTGGCAAGAAAAATCTCCAGGTCTCAGAAGTCAGAATTGGTTCTTCCAAGTAAGTTCCTCTGTGGAATTGTGCTGCTTCTTTCTTTGACTTGGCAGCCGTTCATGTGGATGGCTGTGACTAATTCCCTTTGGGGTGCTGGAGTGCTTGTTGGATAGCAAATGGAAGCTGGAAGAGGGACTGGAATGCGTGTAGTGCTGATGGTGGTGGTGTACTTCAGGAGTGCACTAATCCCTAAAGGGAGAACTGCTGTTCTCTGCTGCTAGTTATCTGTGCTGGCCTGCCTGTGTTTTTATTGACACTTTAGCTTGACCACAGTCCCCTGTTCTTGCTTTCTGTATGTGTTTGTTATTAGAAATAGATCAGCTTAAACAGTGAAGCTGCTCTTCTTTCAGGCGGTTTGGCTACGTGGATTTCTTATCTGCTGAAGATATGGATAAAGCTCTTCAGCTGAATGGAAAGAAGCTGATGGGTTTGGAAATCAAACTGGAAAAAGCGAAGAGCAAAGAAAGTCTTAAAGAAAATAAGAAAGGTAGGACTCAGTTCTGAGCTATCTGCACGTTGAAGAAAGGTGGGTGGCATTACTAATGGCTGCTGTGCTGCTCTTAAAAGACATTTCCCTGGTCTGATCCCTGTGTCGTAGTTTCTTGAGTGCTAAAATGGCTGTGCAAGTTCTGACTTGCAAATCTGAAACACTGAGCTGGAAGGAAGTAGTGTAAGTACGTAGTAAGTGCATGAGGAGGGCATGTGGTCCTGTCCTAAGCTTTAGGAGCTGTATTCAGAATTCAGTGCCTTTAGGGAAACAACATAATGGTAACCTAATTAATTTTTGCTCTTGCCTTTTCTGCTTTCGGGACTACAAATCTGTACTGTTCAGGTTTTTTTTTTTTCTGCTGGATTTATTTGGTCTGTCTGCTTGTCGAGAAGGGATATGGAGCAGATGGTGAGAACTTTTCTTTGCTCTTTGCAGAGAGAGATGCTAGAACACTGTTTGTGAAGAATCTGCCCTACCGTGTAACTGAAGAGGAAATGAAAAATGTGTTTGAAAATGCTGTAGAGGTCCGACTAGTACTTAACAAGGAAGGGAGCAGCAAGGGGTATGTAGAGAAACTGTGAAGTGTTTGCTGTTACTGCATTTTGATGTGTTCAGGCATTCAATCCTGAACTTAAGGATTAATTTCCTTGCAGGAATGACTGTCGCTTTCTTTGTTGTAGGATGGCCTATATTGAATTCAAAACAGAAGCTGAGGCAGAAAAAGCACTGGAGGAGAAACAAGGCACAGAGGTTGATGGTCGTGCCATGGTCATTGACTACACTGGTGAGAAGAGCCAACAAGAAAATCAGAAAGGTGTGTTTTCAGATTAACAGTGTGCATGCAGAGGGCAGGACTTTGCTTGTGTCAGAAGCTTGCTAGGGACAGAATGACTTGAAGCACTGCAGCAAAGCTGTAAGATAACAGGCAGGAGCCTTTTCCCTTCCTTGTGCTCCACATGGCATGCACTGCAGGTTTCTCCTGCATGTTTTTGACAAGAAAGGGCAGTTAGTCCAGGTGACCAGAACAGCATTGGTTCTTGGCTTTGTGCCTCACCTCAAAGTGGGAAGGGGGTGCAACAACTGCCATCTCCTTAGGAGGGGACTTTGTGCCCAGAGGTAGAGAGCTCTCCCTCTCTAAGCTTGGACTTGACTCACTGTGTTTCCTTTCTAGGAGGTGGAGAGAGGGAGTCGAAGACGCTGATTGTGAACAACCTGTCCTATGCTGCCTCAGAAGAAACTCTGCAGGAACTGTTTAAAAAAGCTACTTCCATCAAGATGCCACAAAACAACCAGGGCAGGCCTAAAGGGTATGTTTATAACTGAGTCCTCAGTTGGCATGGTGAATGCCTTGCCTCTGCTGATGTGCTGTGCCTCCCAAGCTGACTGAAACCTTCCTCTTCAAATAGGTATGCATTTGTAGAATTTCCCACAGCCGAGGATGCTAAAGAGGCATTGAATTCCTGTAACAACACAGAAATTGAAGGCAGGGCAATCAGGCTGGAATTCAGTTCACCATCGTGGCAGAAAGGGAACATGAATGCAAGAGGAGGATTTAACCGTAAGTGTTCCGTGCCTGATTACTGGATCCTGTGGTAAGAGTGTGCAATTCCTGCCAACTTTTGTCTGCTTCAAGAAACTAACAAAAACACAACAGCAAACAACTGTGAAAGACATGAGTAGATGTGCTGGATGTGATGACTGATTATCTGAAATGCTGATGAAACGATTTCTAAAGTCCTCTAGATAGTCAAGTGCTGATCCAGCAGTGTCTGTTACCCTGTTAGTGTCCGTACTGATTCACTTGTATCTATGGGAGGATGAAAGTGTGTAGAGGGGAATGAATTTGATGGTACCAAGTGGGTCCATTTGGAGGCACTTGGATGTAAGGTTCTGTTTGCAGTTCAGAGAGTTTTCAAGGTCATCTACCTTTGGGTGCCTCAGCCTCCTTTAAAAGTAAAAGCCCTGGGAACTGTTGTTGGAGTCGGTAGTGCAGGCCGAATGTGGTGTTGAGAAGTTAATGGTAGCTTTGCTCAGACTGATCTCTGAATGTTCTTTCCACAGAACAAAGCAAAACATTGTTTGTCAGAGGCCTTTCTGAGGACACAACGGAGGAGACGCTAAGAGAATCGTTTGAAGGCTCTATAAGTGCTCGAATAGTCACAGACAGGGACACTGGCTCTTCTAAAGGGTATGTTAAGCACCACGGGGGGTTCCTTCGGTTCCTGCAGGAGAAAAACATCTGTGTGGTGCAGGGTGTATCTAAGGCTTATGTAGGTGATTCTTAGGAGACAGTAGATGGTGTGGAGCTAGAGGAGGGGGGGCATATAGCTGTGGTTGGGCAGGCTCACTTCTCAATGAGCTCCTTCCTGCCGACAGATCCGTGGCAGCCTATGGATTCGCACGAGAAGGACATTAACAGCTGGGTAGTGGCACACTCACAACGTGGTTCCGTCAGTTGTGATTAGCTGCTTACTGGTTTACAAGTAACAGTTCCAGATGCTACTGTTACCTAAGGGATTGCTGTCAAGTGCCAGTAGGTGGTGCTACGGTTCATGGGTTGCGTGTGGTTTGACTTGTCTTTCTCTTAATCCACTGCCCAGGTTTGGGTTTGTGGACTTCAGCTCCCCAGAGGATGCCAAAGCAGCTAAAGAGGCTATGGAGGATGGAGAGATAGATGGAAACAAAGTGATCCTTGATTTTGCCAAACCAAAGGGTGAATTTCAGCGTGGCGGTGGATTTGGTGGTGGATTTGGTGGTCGTGGTGGCAGAGGAGGCCGAGGAGGAAGAGGTGGATTTGGAGGCAGAGGTGGTGGCAGAGGTTTTGGAGGTAAGTAACCTTCTAAGGCCCATAGTCAAAAATCAGCTGAAGCTGTTCTTGGGGTTACAGGGTGCTGCTCCCATAGAGTGCTGGATGTGAATTTGTTTTCTGTCCTGTACCAGGGAGGGATTTGGAAAGGTAGTGGTGACTGTAGGGGGAGCCATGCATCTTTGTTTCCTGATACATTCTCTTTTTATAGGCAGAGGAGGAGGTGGCTTCCGAGGAGGCAGAGGAGGAGGTGGAGATCACAAGCCACAAGGGAAGAAGATCAAGTTTGAATAAACTTCCCTTTTCCTTTCCCTTCTCTTGATCTCTGAGACTATCTGAAAGGACTCCAGGGGTTTTTATTCTCCTTTTATCTTGGCGGAGCCTTCGGAGGACATTCCAAGGTGCAAAGGAGTACTGTGAGCCACTTGGAAGAAAGAATTTTCATTTCAAGGAAGAACAGCAAGCTATTTTGACTGCTTGCATATTCAAGTGAACTTTTTAACAGAAATGAGCGATAGCTGTGGGAATTTACCCTTTGTCTGTGAGTTGTCTTGAATTTATAATGTTTTACCCATGTACAAAAATATTTTTTTTCCTATAAACTTCTGTAGCATTTTTTTGCTGTAAAAATGCAGAATGTTTTATCATTTGTGCTTCAGCACCCTGTCTTGGACAGATTAAAGGACCTAAACTGGTTCGTGTTAATTCTGTGCCACTATAACAGGGGCTGTGACAAAGTCTGGCTGGAGGCTTCCTGCTTTAGGGTCGCTCTGATCAGTGCAGGCAGCATCCTGCGTTGGCTTTGGCCTGCTCTGTCCCCTCTTCCACTCTACAGGGGCTATGCTTTACACAAGGAAGTATTTCCCTGGACTGCAGCTACTCTTACCCTCTTTCAGAAGGACACTCAGGCTGTCTGTGTTTTATTTCATCCAAAACTGGTACTGGCCTTCTTTCCTGTTGCCTCCTTGGAGTTGAGGCAGTGTCTTGAAGCACAGTAGGGAAGTAACTTGCCTGTCACCAGCGTTGCTCTGGGCATGGGCCAACTCCTGCACCTCTCTCTTTGGCACAGCCCTGATCTCTTGTCTTGCCCAGGGCCTTGGCTGCTGTCCTGCTGCTGTTGGTGGGGCACAATGCTGCCTTTGAGTGATGCAGCGTGCTGGTACAGAAGGCAGGAGGGCAGCTGCTGCTCTTTCAAACACGGGCAGTGTTGCTGACAGCAGGGCAAAGCTGACACAGAGCTGGCACTGTGGCTGCAGCTTTAGGTCCTGCTGAAAGCCGCTCTGGCTCTGACCTGCGTTCCAACCCTGTGCCACTCCAGGCATCTTCCCAGCTCGGCGCTGACCTTCTGCCCTAGTGGAGCAGGGCGAGCGTAGCGCCTGCTGCCTGCCGCTTCCCTTCGCGCATGGCATTCCACGTCAGCGCCGGCCGTACGCAGAAAGAAGCGGCGTTTGGCGGCTGGAGCGGCGCCGCAGAGCGTAGAAAACCCCATTTCCGTAGGGCTGCGTGCAGCGCCGCTCGCCCCGCTGCCATCAGCCATTTTATTTCGGAGGCTGCGCGCCGGCCCGGCGGCAAATGGTCGGAGCGCGGCGGCGGGGCGGGCAGCAGAGGGCGGCAGCAGAGCGGCACCGGGCTGCGGGCTGCGCCGGCGGGAGGGAAAGGCTGGGAGGGGATCTCCTGGTAAGGCTCTACTTCTCTCCCCTCCGGCCCAGCTAAGGCTGTGCCCTTCGACCACCGTGGCCCGTGACCGCGTTTTGTTCCCAGCCATCCAGGCTGTCCTGGCCAGCAGAAACCTGCTAGCAACGACACGAGGTGAAGGCTTGGTTTTTTTCTTTCTTTGAACCCTTTCTTCTTTTAACCTTTATTTTTCTGAAACTAAAATATTCACCGAATCTACGCGGTTCCTGTTTCCCTCCAGGTGAAGAGCAGCGCTGACAGATCTCTGCGTGCTGCTCTGTGCCCCCATGGATGGGATGAGCACACAGCTGTACCCCAGAGCAATGACAGCCGTCACCTCAGGAAGTGCCCCAGGTGAACCCAGGTGAACAGCAGTGAGCCCTGCACCCAGCGGTGCCCTCGGGCCCTGCAGGTACCCGGGGCTGTGGCTCCTTTGGATGCATCATAAATCAATGTCACCATAAACGGAACATCACCAAACATCATCATTTAGCCCCCAGCGCCGCCACCAACAGCCAAGCCCAGGACACAAATGAGCTCTTTCTCTTTTTTCCCTTCAAATCTGCAGCTCATCCCAGCAGACGAAGGACATCTGCAGAGGAGAAGTGGTGTGGCTTGGCACCACAGTGCCTCCTTTGGCTGCTGTACACCCCTTCTTGTTTGTTTTCTAACCTGAGGAACATACAGACTTGGAGTGAATGAAACAGGCACTTTTCCAAAACACATTAAGAAAAGGAGGGGGAAAAAAAAAAGGCACTGCACAGGGGGACCTTTGAGGTAGTAGAAATTTTTTCCTTTCAATGTCTGGCACCAGAGAAGGAGAGAGAGAGAGAGAAGAGAGCAAGCACACACATGTGTGCGTTTCGCCGTGCGTGTTCAGGGCTGCGGATGTGGCTGTGTACATCCACAGCATGCAGGGACACGGGGGTGTGCAACCCTGCACTTGGCGATGGCAGGGTGTGCCCACCCTGTGTCCCCCCACATGACACACCACGGAGGAGGCGTTTCAGGCACAGATACATTCCCCTTTGCTTCTGAGCAGTGCTCACGTGCACGTAGACCACTGACCCCCTTGGAGCAGATTTCCTGGGTAGCCAGACCCTAAACATCTAGCACAAATCCCCTCCTGCCTCCCCCAGCCCCACCTGGAGGTGGTACCTCTTGCAGGGCACAGACCTCTCTTTCTCTCCCTTCCCTCTTTGTGCTAGGATTTCTCTTTTTTCTCTTTTTTCCCTTTCTTCATTTTCAGCAACCCCCAACCCAGCTGGAGATAGGCGAACCACATTACAGTACAGGAACAACCACCATCACAAGCCTTGCCATGCCACAAGCAGAGGCTCGTTGCGTCCCACTTGTTATGTCCCCACTCAGTCCCAGCTCTCCAGAGAGAATGAGCTAAAGGACATTGAGTTTTCTTGAGCACGTCAAGTTACTGTGCACCAAGTCCCACATTTGGATCAAATCTGGAGGCAGCAGTTTATGAACCACTAACATACTCCGGAAAAAACACGGCTCCTTGTTCATCTTGCTGTTCTTGTTCTTCACGATGCCAAAAGTTTTGAAGCCCTCGTGCCCAACGGGCGACACCTTGAGGACCTCCAAGCACATCCCTAGGAAGACGTCGTCAATGGGGTACAGCTCCAGCGTCTCTGAGGCCTTGTGCAGCCTCTTGGCCAACGGTCCGTCCATGACGAAGCCTCCACCACCCGCGTAGGGCGGGTAGATGCTTTTGTTGTAGAGAGCACTGGGGATGTAGTACTTGTTCTCCTTCCTCCGGATCGGCCTGGCATTGTAGAGGACGTCCCCCACAAAGACGTCCTCTCCCTCCTTCTTGTCCTCCAGGAACTCCAGGATGTTGTCGGGACTCACAAACACGTCGTCGTCCCCTTTGAAGATGAAGCGGACGTTGTCGCAGTAGATGTTCAACCACTTCAAGAAGTGAACCTCTTTGAGCGTGAGATTGAAGAAGCTGTCCAGGAAATCCCACTGCAAGATGTCCCCATAGATGTGGTTCTCGTAATCCAGCAGCTTCTGGTAGTTGGCTCTCTCCTCTTCCTTGGAGGCTGTGCCCAATAGGAAGAGCGTCCTGATCTTCTTGCCCCCCACTTCCTTCTGTTTGCCCCACGTCCTCCGGATGGCCTCGCGGCGGTCGTGCTGCGTGATGATGGACTTGACCACGATGAGCAGGTAGACGTCCTCGCTGCACTTCTCGGGGTGGTTGATCAGCATGGGGAAGTAGCGGCAGTGCCGGTAGAGCAGGAACTGCTGGAAGTTGGGCTCCAGCCCTTTGAACCAGTCCACTTTGCTCAAGTTCTGGTTGGCCGAGCAGTTGGTAGTGGTGATGTCCCATGATTTCACCTGCCTCTCTGTCATGCCTCCGTCCTCTTCCTTGCCTGGAGCTTTTTCCTTTTTGCTTTTCCAGAAGGTGCTGGTGATGGAGAAGGCGTTGTCTCTCTTCTGTGTTTTCAGGGGCTCTGGGGTAGGCAGTTCCTTCTGCTGCTGGCCCTGCAGGAACTGGCTGGGGGCCATTCCCCGCTGCAGCACTGTCACCGTGATCACCAGCAGGAAGGACAGGCAGACTGTTTTGTAGATGGTCTTCCTCCTACAGGGACGAGATAGGAGTAAGGAGAGGAAAACAGCGGTGGGAGGCTCGTCTGAAGGAACTGGGGGCCATCATGGGAAGCCACAAATCCTGCAGCCCGAAAGAGACCCAGTGATTGCTGCCGCACCCAATAACCCCCCCAGCTACTGCCCCATGTATACCAAAGCCAGGCAGGTTTGTGCCCCGAGCACCTGGCTGCCCCCCAGCTGGCTCTGCTGCACCAATTTCCTCTGCTCTTGGGTGCCCCAGGGCTGGGGACGGCACTGCATTAGGGATCATCCGAGCAGCCCAACGGTGGTGGAAAAATACCACTAGGCTGCCTAGGAACCTGCAGAAACATCCTTGAGGTTTGCAGCTGGGTGCCCAATACATCCTTAATAAGAACAGAACAAAGAAACAGCAATAGTAGG